TGGGATTTTTCCTCCGGGTCCCCTGGGTTTTCCCTCCACATTTAGAATCAACGTCCACGCGTTTAGAGTCTTTGGCTGCTAGAAATGTCCACGCGATGATGATGATGAGCCACCTCGTTGGGCCATCATTTGTGGCCAGGTCGCTGCTGAAAATGAGCTACAGCGCTCAGTTGGCCTTATCTGGTCATATAAAATAGTTAAGGGGTCGTACATAAATGACGTCACGCACCTGGGGGGGGGGGGGGTCAGACATTTGTGACGATGTGTGACAAGGGGGGGGGGGGTTTGACAAATTGTGACGTCACATCAAAATGCGTAACTTTAAATATATATAGACAACACGTTCTACTTAATTAAATAGACTTTTTAATAAATGTTTCTCCTACAACATCAGAGTGCAGCGCCACATTAAATACGCACTACAATGACAATAGTTTAAAGCGTTTTGAAGGTATGTTTTATTTTATTTTTGGGGGGGGGGGGGCAGAACTTTGTGACGTCATATTTGAGTGGGGGTGTGACTTTTTGTGATGCCGTGTGACGAGGGGGATAAAAAAAATCGCGTGACGTCATTTATGGACGGCCCCTTAGTTTCGTGTTAAATAGTTTCAAAGCTCCACCAGATTCCTGCTTCTCGTCTAGGATAATAAAGAGTATGATTATGGCTCATGCATTAAAACTCAACTAAACTTTTACCAGGTAAGGCCCCATTGGGCTATATAGATATTTTTCATAAGCGACCTCCCTGTGACAAATGATAGTTCAACGAAGTGGCTAATCATCAGCACCGGGAAATGTATCGCAGCCAAATACTCTAAACGCGTGTTTCTAGACGTGGTGAGAGAGACATTGAAACTAAAAATATACAGCAGCAGCAGCAGGCGTCAGGGTCGTGATCGAACCCACGACCTCCTGTATACCAGGCGAGGTAGTTAACATCTCCTAGCCACCGTGATGCCCCTTCGCGAGACAATTCCAGCCCAGCACATGTGTCAATAACACTACGTGGCCCGAAACGGCTAAACAAATGTACAGATATACAATTTATAATATTCGACGTTTCAGTCAATGATTCTTATTCATCGCACTAAATATATAAACAATTTCCTTGCTGTGGTTTTCACACCTGATGATGATTGCTTGTGTTGCAGTCTAAACGTCGTGAGAATTTTATTATTTTATATTTTTATTATTTTATTGTTTCCCTTCTACGTGACTTTACCGAAAAAACCAAGAATATGAATCCCTGCAGTCACGAAAGCTTTAAATCATTTCTAAAGTCATCACGGGCGCGTGCATACCTTCAGCTCCGTTGATTTCACAGTAACGAGCTCGCTGGAATGAATACTCCTTAAATTTAATGATTCATTCCCAGAAGGCCGCGTGGCAGACTGATTGTGTGGAGATTAAAAAAATACTTAGCGTATTCGATGTGTTAGAGACGGACTGTCTCTGCGTATCTTGCTTTTGGCTACGTGTGCGCTATGCATTAAGGGCCATCGCCCGAAACGTCGTCGATTCTATATTGTTTTCGCTTCAAGGCAGCAGTGCTCTTGGCGAGTGTGATATGGGGGGGGGGGGATCACAATAACAATGGGCTTCATCGTTTCCGGCAATAGCACATGGGGCGTGTTAACATGTCCAAACGCCAAACACAGACACACCTGTTGCAAGGTATCACCGAGTCTGCATTAACCGCGCATCGTAGAGCTTGTGATGAAAAAAAAACGAAACAGCAGCATGCACACACACGCGGGTGAACGACGATGTACGACAACATTGTCCCTCGAAACTGTTTGGTCGAGAGCAGAGCTGCAGCCTCCTCCTGCATGGCCTCGTCTCAGGCGGCAGCACCAGGGGGTTTGGGGGGGGGGTTAACTCCAGCGCATCAAGGCGTGAATAGCCCGGATTTGTGAGCAGTTTACACATACGAGTGTGTTGAGTAATCGTCTTTGATGTCCGCGCCTTTTTTTTTGTCGCCACCGCTACCGCATCGGCAGCAGCAGCAGCAGCGGCCGGTGGCAGTCAGCCGAACAACGTGTTTAATGGAGAACAGATGGGGGGGGGGGTCGTTTCCCATCGCATTGGCACGACCGGGGCTGAAAGGCGGTGGGATTGAGAGGGAAATGGGATGGGGAGAAGATGGATGAGTGGAGGACGTACCGCGTTCCCCTACACTCACCGACAAATACACGGATTGCCCCCCCCCGCCCCCCCGCATAGCCTTCACAGACTTGTGTGCTGTAAGCGAGTATCACCTGTGAAGGCCGCAAACCACGCACGGCCGCCTTTGTCTCCCCCCCCCCCCCCCGAGTGGCGATGTTTACGCACCGGAGCCGGGAACTCGTTGAAAGGCTGGAGTCGACCTAGGAGACGAGCGGGACACAGACTGCTGGGGGGCAATGATTTGGATCAGATGCACCTGCTCTAAAAACATCAACAACGTGGCTTCAGTCGCCGTGTGAAGGAACACCTCCAGCGCACCCCCCCCCCCCTCCCCCAGGCGTGGGCATGTAACCTCGGCAGCAGTTCTGTGATATCAACATCCACGGGCCGTTCTCCGATTCTTCTCGCTGCGAGGGCCCCGATCTAAAATGCCTCTCCGTCCCGTGGCCACGCGGACGTGATGGGTGGCACAGCTGCTGTGGGTTTTGGGACGCAGCCACGTGGGAGACATCTAGTGGCCAGGATGAATCTCTCTCAATGGGAATTTATTTTAATTTTACCTTTTCCAGGAAGAATACGATGAGCAATGAAGCTCCTTTTTTTTACGGATGTCCAGTCGAGTGAGTGAGTTACCCGAGTCACCAAACATGGCTAAAGCACGAATATACGAACTGAGTGCAGCATTGAAGCAACTTTAAATCAGAGCAAATATGAAAAAGAACAAGCAAGGATTTGCTTCAATCATGTAATAGACGACGTTACGGGCAATGACCCTTTTTCACAGCACATGGAGAAGGCAAGTATGTATGTTGAACTTATTTCGCACTCGTACGTATCCGGCCGTGCTAATCGGAGGTGCGGTGGAAGGACAACAAACGGTTCTAAAGAAACGAGGTTGTCAATCGATGGTGATTTACAAGTGCACAGCTCCCGGCGGCTTCCCGATATCGGAAGGGAAGAGCGTTCCAGACGGCCGCAGAAGCAGCGCATCTGAAAGCGCCGCGCGACGACGCAAGTGACCGCCGCCTTTGTTCGATGACCGATTCCAAAATCCGCTGTCGCTGCTGCTGCTTCTGCGAGGATGATGACCGCCCGGAGTGTCGCGTGCTGATGGTTTATGCAACCACCAACTTTATCTCTACCTTTCCCTCTCTGGCCTCTTCTCTATGCGCTGTAAAAGAAGAACCCTATTGGTCCGAGACTTCGGCGGTTATAAATATAATGTATATTAGATGTTTGTATATTGTTAAGGCCACGCGTAGCAGCCAGCGGTGATATTATCGACAGAATTGTGTTGACTTTTAAGGGATAAATCAGAGCAACTGGGACGTTAATTGGGAGAGGCCGGGCAAGCAGGAGGAGAGGAGGTAAGTTACAACCCCCCACGACCACCACCACCCCACAATTTCCCAGCATCTATTTATAATCTGGAGCGATGGATGGGCTGGGGGACAGAGAGAGAGAGATGGGGGGAGAAGGAGTATTTGATATACGAGAGCATTTGAATTCGCCAACTCTAATGCACTTGTGATCGTATCGCGAGATTATGTAAATGCACCCTGTATGTAATCCATCACTCCCTGCCGAAGCTCGGCTGTTCTCTCCCGCCGTCTTCCCTGTCCATCCGTGACGCGGGGGGCCGCTACTCGTTTATCTTTAAATAACGCACCAGAGAGCCCAAGTGGTGGAAATTCCACATTGTTGCGGCGAGTTTCGCAGCTTAATTAGAGGACTATATCGTCATCATCGATCATTCATTTGTATCAGCCACGGACCAGGAATGGTTCAGATTATAATTACGTAAATAATTATCATTACTATAATAATGCTTAGCATGATTATCATTCGTAGTATTCATCACATAAAGTGGCGTTGTCGTTCATCCACATTGCCTCTCAGCATCGCCAAGGAACCACCCACGCGGCTCTTTACATATTAAGATGACTAATGAGTTGTTTATTCGTTTGGGAGGAGACTGGAACACCCGGATAACACGCACCCGTGCGTGGGAGAAACACTCTATCCCCGTACATATGGGACAGATATCTATTCGTGCAGGGTACGGCACTCCCTCCTCCCTCGACGCCCACATCGGTGCGGTGATCCAACAACCCTCGCTGCTGCTACTGCTGCCTCGACAGTGCTGGATTACAGGCAACAGCAGCAGCAGCAGCCACGAGCAGCAGCAGCAGCAGCGTAGCCACTGCCACGGCGCGGCTCTTAGCCGTGAGCGGGAATCGAACTCGGCTCGCCGGGTTCGTAGCGTAGAGTGCTAACCGCTCCGCACAACACACCCACACCAGTGTATACACACACGCACGCACACACCTGTGTATATACACACACATACACACCAGTATACACATCCATCCGCACACACACCTGTGCACACACGTGTAACCATGCAAAAGATCCCCTGTAAAGCCTGAACAGAATGTAGGAGTAAGTGTTGTTAGCGATCACCTATGAAGGCCGGCACGGCACACGAAGGGGTGGGTGGCCAGCACCACGCCCGGCCGCCTTTGCCTCCCTACACACAGCACCAGGTACACATTTCAGGCTGAGTCGACCTAGGAGAGGCCCAGAACCGGTTCAGATAATCGTCACTGGTTTCGCTCGTGAGCGGAAATCAAACCCGGGTCGCCAGGTTCGTAGCGCAGCGTAGCACTAACCACTACACCACCGCTCCCACACACACACGCATCTGAGCACACACGAACGAACATCAGTATACACACACACACACAACTCTGTACTTGCGTACCCATGCGCGCGCGTGTGTGTGTGTGTTCCCCCACCTCGCCACTCGCCCCCTCCTCCCGGCCCCACTACAGCGCTGGAGTTTGAGGAGGGGGAGTTCCTGGACATCGAGTCGATCCGCAGGGACCAGGCGGGCGAGTACGAGTGCAGTGCAGCCAACGAGGTGTCCGCTCCCGATGTGCGCCGCGTTCGCGTCTCCGTCAAGTGTGAGTCTCGCTCGCCTCGGGCCGTCGCTGCGGCGGCGAGTCGGTAGGGCTCGTCACTGCGAGTCGGTCGCGACGCGAACCCCCTGGCCGCCGCTGCTGCTCCTGCTGCAGGTGACGGCGGTGATGCATCTGTCGGGCATCTCATTCAGTCGGCTGTATGGCACCTGGTGGGTCTGTCACGTGAGCTCCCCCCAGGTCAGCTGCGAGCCTTCGGCGCTCCACGTGAACAGCCTCGGGGTGCACCCAGCCTGGCACAGGCGGCCGTGGCGACGTCACCGCCGCTGAGTGGTCGAACAGCCGCCGCTGTTGTTGCTGTTGTTGTTGTTGGTGGTGGGAGCGAGAGGGGTGATGGTTTGCTCGGTTGAAACAAAATTCGCAGTCGCCAAGCAAAGGGATTGAGAACCACTGCCGTGGACCCATCTCTGCCCACGACCTTCTTACCCACCGGGTCTTCCCCAACCCTCTCCCCCCCCCCCCCCACTGCGCCCCCCAACCCACAGACGCCCCCACCATCACCGAGGCTCGCAGTGTCGGAGTCCCCGTGGGCCGCTCCGTGATGTTGCGCTGCGAGGCGCAGGCCGATCCCTCCGCAAGCTTTACGTGGTTCAAGGAGGATCGCAGGTCGGTGCCGGAGGTAGTCTGGGTGCCACGGTGGCGAGGAGATGTTAACTACCTCCCCTGGTATGCAGGAGGTCGTGGGGTTTGATCCCGACCCTGACGCCTGCTGTATATTTTGAGTTTGCGTGTCTCTCTCTCATCATCATCACGGTGGCTAGGAGATGTTAACTACCTCGCCTGGTATGCAGGAGGTCGTGGGGTTTGATCTCGACCCTGACGCCTGCTGCTGTATATTTGGAGTTTGCGTGGCACTTTTTCTCTCTCATCATCATCATCACGGTGGCTAGGATATGTTAACTACCTCGCCTAGTACGCAGGAGGTCGTGGGGTTTGATGCCGAGCCTGACGCCTGCTCTATATTTTGAGTTTGCGGTGTCTCTCTCCCCACGCTCGCGTGGATTTTTCTCCGGGTCCTCCCGTTTTTCCCTCCACATTTAGAAGCACGCGTTCACAGTATTTGACCGCTGCTATAAACTCCCACGTGATAAGCCGCTTCGTTGGGCCATCGCTTGTGCTCTGGTTGCTTCTGAAAAAGAGCTACGAAGCTCAGTGGGGCCTTTACCTGGTAAAGTAAAGAAAAATAATTTTAAAAATTAGTTACGAAGCGTCGGCGAGTGTGGGAGAGGTAGTCAACTCGTCGCTGCCCTACCGCACCTGTGTACCTTCGCTGGCCTTCAATAGGTGCTCGCTAACAGGCCTCACTGCCACGCTGTCTCGGGGTACGTCTACGGTTGTGTCTTTCACTACTTTTCTAGAAGGGGTGGGGACATTTTGTCCGATAAGACATCATCAGTAGTGGTGAGGGCCGCCACACATTTTGAAACCATCGTTGGGTTTGGCAGCGGCACTTTGACGATGATGATGGTGATGATGATGATGGGGGGGGTGTTGTCACCATTTGTGTTTTGTGTCGGGGTGGCCCCACGCCAGGAGGGCGCACTGGACACTCTCTGTTTGAGCCGTTGCCATCAGGCAGACGATTCAGATCAGTCAAAACAAGGACAAACAGATTCAAACACAGCTTTTATCCTACAGCAATTTCCACACTCAAAACTGCTAATTAATTACTAAGTAATATTGTATACAATTGACTGTAAAATAAGGATGTGCAATGATAAAATGTACTTTTATGTGGGTATGTGGGTATACTTGGGTAGTTTTTATATGTAAAATGTATTGATTATCTTTTATTTTACTTTTATTTCTTGTTTTATTTAAATTTATGAATGATTGTACTGACTGGTGAGCACTTTAAATTTCGTTGTACTGGTGACAATGACAATAAAGGATCTATCTATCTAAAGGCCACCAAGAGGGCACCGGCCAGTGGCCCGCGTGGCCTTGCTATGAAGAACTGTAATAAGGTCACCGTCGCTACTCACGTCAGCCTAAGCCAGGAGTCCACTCGTGATCTTCTCAATGTCATGGGCTCGTGAAGAATGAGAAACGATCGATGTCATCGTCGTCGCTCGTCGTCATTGTCATCGTCGTCAGTGGTCTATAGGAAAAGCACGACCGGTTACTCGCCTGCAGTCTTTGACGGCCACCGTTGCCCGCTCCCCTCTCGCCTGATGTTGATGATGGCGGGGAGCGGTGGCGCAGCGGTTAGCGCGCTGCGCTGCCAACCCGACAGAGAACCGAGTTCGAGTCCACGCTCGCGGCCCCCCAACGCCAGTGACAATTATCTGAATCGGTCCTGGGGACCTCTCACACACACACGCACGCGCACTCACACACGTACACGCGCACGCATTCTCACACACGTACTCGCACACACACGCACGCACACTCTCACACACACACACGAATACTCTCTTACGCTCACACACGCTCACACACACACGAATACTCTCTTACGCTCACACACGCACACTCTCACACACACGAATACTCTCTTACGCTCACACACGCTCACACACACACACACACGAGCGCACGCTGCCACACGCGCGTGTCACCACCCCCCCCACCCCCCACAGGCTGCTGAACGGCCTGGCCGGGCTGCACATCCAGAGCAGCGGGCGCCACTCGCTGCTCACGTTCGTGAACGTCACGGAGGAGACGTACGGCAACTACACGTGCGTCGCCGCCAACGTGCTGGGCGCCAGCAACGCCAGCATGCTGCTCTACAGTGAGTGAGCTCGACTACCTCGTCGAGTCATCGTCATCGGCGCGCGACGACGACCCGGCGGCGGAACAGGCCGCGCGTCGAAATCTCATCGGCTCGTCGTCGCGCGCATTGCGAACGCTAGTCGCCCCGTAAACGTAAACAACGACACCTCGATTGATTTACGCGCGTAAAGGCGCATCGATGCATCGCTGCGCGCAAATGACGCAGTCATCCGTCGGCGTCGATAATTGCTACATTGATCGATTTCTGCCGCGTACTAATTCATAATCGATTCATCGTTGCGCGTAAAGATCAATCGATTCATTGATGGGCGCAACGAACACAACGATCCATCGACGTACATCACGGCGCGCTTGTCCACCGACGCGCGAAATGACTTTGCACCGATCCACCAACGCCAGACGAGACGCCTTGGTCAGGTGACGAGAGGTGTTGAGACCCGGGGGGCGGGGGGGAGTAAGAGGGAGAAGGCGCGACTCAGATAAGGAACGCGGCTTCGAGACCCTCGTAGCGTTGACGGTTCCGGGCAGCGCATCAAGACGAGGCGCACGCCCTGACGCGCAAGTGGCGAGCGCCGAGATAGTGGCCGTCCAATCGGTGTCGTTCAAGTCGAAAGTTGCGATTTCAGCGAACACCCCGGCTGAGCCCATCGACTCGCCCCGACCCGCGGAACCTCGTGTGGCTCACGGCTGCAATTGGGAGCGGCGGTGTGGCCGCCGTTCGCTACGCTGCACTTCGATTCCCGCTGCACGGACCAACAACAGCGGTCACGATTTTCTGAATCCGGTCCTGGGCCTCCCCTAGGTCGACTCAGCCTCAAATGAGTACCCGGTGCGGGGTGTCATCATCGCCACTCGGGAGACAAAGGCGGCTTGGGTGTGGTGCTGGCCACCCACCCCCTCGTGTGCCGTGCCGGCCTTCATAGGTGTTCGCTCACAGAACTTGCCCTAACAGTCTGTCAAAGCTTTGTAGGGGATTTTTGTCTTGTTTTGCTATCTCTATGTTTATTTATTGACTTGCTTGACCTTTATCTTACTCTTCTATCCTTTCTTGCACCTTTTTGTTGATTCAAATTGCTAAACCACCGCCCCTTTAATTGTCATCTGTGAAAAAGAGGTTCATCCGATTCCTTCTCCTCCCTCCCTCCCTCCCTCCCTCCCTCCCTCCCTCCCTCCCTCCCTCCCTCCCTCCCTCCCTCCCTCCCTCCCTCCCTCCCTCCCTCCCTCCCTCCCTCCCTCCCTCCCTCCCTCCATCCCTCCCTCCCTCCCTCCCTCCTTCCATCCTGCCTCCTCCTAAATACAGATTCTAATTCAGAAACCCGGATTCGAACCCCCGGAATCTGAGCCGTGCCAGCTCAGTGCCTCTGACAGAGCCACCGTGAAACCGCCCTGAGCCACGCAGCCCAACAGGCTGGTTCGACTTCTATAATGAGGTTCATAACGGCCAAGTCAGGGAACGTTAATGGGACGCCTGGGTCAGCCACTCTCTCTCTCTCTATCCCTCTATCTCTTTAATGAGGTTCACAATGGCTGTGTCAGACAATGCAGCGATCATCGCTGATATCCTGGATCAGGGCACTGAGGATATGCAGGTTGGCCCAAAAGTCAGGACACAGGATTGTCATATTTATTTTTTTAACTCACAAACGGATATTTAATTTATTTTAGCAAATATTCATCCACTGCTGGATGAGGTCCTGCCACTACCAACCCCATCGTGAGGGTTATTTGACCATACTTCACCACGCTGGTCAGTGCGCATTGGTGAGTGCGTTCGTACCGCAGCGTTGCTATAACAACTTCGGCACCACCGCTCTACCCAACACAAAAAAAATATACACAAACAAACTAACGAGACATTCCACAGCCCGTTATGATCGTCATCGGGTGCCATGGCGAGATGTTAACTACCTCGCCTGGTATGCAGGAGGTCGTGGGTTTCAATCCCGACTCCGATGCCTGCTGTATATTTGGAGTTTGCTTGTCACTCTCCCCGTGGATCCGTGTATTTGTCTCCGGAGCCTCTGGGTTTTCCCTCCACATTAAGAATCAACATCACGCGTTTAGAATATTTCGCTGCAATCGATGTCCACGTGTTACGCCACTTTGATGAGCTATCATTCGTGATAGCCAGGTCGCTTCTCGAAAATAAATATATTAGCTCAGTGGGCCCTTACCTGGTAAAAGAAAAAATAATAATTTAGTTTTATCATCTTCACAATGAGCCACGATCAATCCACTGCTGGATGAAGCCTTTCCTCGAGGCGCCTGTACGCCACTAACTTAATAATTCACACATTCATTCCCCTGCTGATTATAAATGACTCTCCGTGGGCAGGTGTCGACATTGATCCTCAACAGTTAACAATCGATTTCAATCATCTCCGCTGGCTGCTTAAGCTCCTAAAAGTAGACAATTTTAATTGAAAACGCAGACAAAGATCCCCCGTGTAGCCCACGCAGACTGCCAGGGCAAGCGAGCACCAAAGGACAGGAGGCCAGCAACGGGTGCACGAGGTCGGCTGGTGTTTTGCGAGAACCCACGCCCGGCCGCCTTTGTCTCCCCCCCCAGCTTATTATATATATATTTTTTATTTTGAACAAGCGACACGAGGTGCACCATTATCATGCTGCGTCCATCGAGTTTTTAAAGGCCACGGGGCGGTTCACGTGGTCACTCGCCTCTGATGTAAGCCGTGGTCGAGTGTCGAAGTCAGGTGGCCGGATTCATAGCGCGGTGCTCTAACCACTGCACCACCGCTCCCCTTAACCCTACACACACAAAGGTCCCCCGTATAGCCTTAACAGAGCATTGGGGAAAGTGCCATTCAGGGGCACCTATGAAGGCCCGGACGGCACACGAGAAGGGGTGGGTCGCCAGCACCACGCCCGGCCGCCTTTGTCTTCCGAGTGGCGAGGCACCAGTTACTCATTTGAGGCTGAGTTGAGCTTAAGGGGAGGCCCGAAACCGGTTCAGATAATCGTCACCGTGGTGTCGGTGGCCCTGAGTGGGAATCGAACTCGGGTAAGGCGGGTTCGTAGCGCTAACCGTTGCACCACCGCTCCCCCGTTGAAAAAATATATCCAGAGACACAAAATGCACGAAGCGTATTTGTTCACCCATTTAATGAATCCACTTACGGCAATTGCATGGCTGTGCTGGCATCATCCCCCAACGCGCTGACCACGTTGTTTGACTAATTTCCTTTGGTAATCGCGTGTCGTGTGGTGTGTTGTGTGTATGTTGTCTGTGTGTCGTGTGTGTGCCGTGTGTGGTGTGTGTGTGGTGTGTGTGTCGTGTGGTGTGTATGTGTCGTGTGGTGTGTGTGTGTCGTGTGGTGTGTGTGTGTCGTGTGGTGTGTGTGTCGTGTGTGGTGTGTGTGTCTTGTGTGTGGTGTGTGTTGTGTGGTGTGTGTTGTGTGCATCGAGTGGTATGTGTGTGTCGTGTGGTGTGTGTGTCGTGTGTGTATATGTGGTGTCGTGTGGAGTGTGTGTGGTGTGTGTTTCGTATGGTGTGTGTGTCGTGTGATGTGTGTGGTGTGTGTGTCGTGTGGTGTATGTGGTGTGTGTGTGTCGTGTGGTGTGTGTGTCGTGTGGTGTGTATGGTGTGTGTGTCGTGTGGTGTATGTGGTGTGTGTGTGCCGTGTGGTGTGTGCCGTGTGGTGTGTGTGTCGTGTGGTGTCGTGTGTGTCCTGTGTCTGTGTCGTTTTTATTTGTTGTTTTCTTTTTTCCTTCATCCATTGCGGAAATGTCACAAACACCACCGCCGCGTGCTGCCTCCAACACCAACTTCTACTCGACCATCCGCTGCGGACCCCCCTCCCATACCCCCAAAACAACAACCACCACCACCCCTACCACCCCCCCCCGTAACCCCCACATGGCCACCCCCATTACCCCCCCCGTAACCCCCCACATGGCCACGCCCATTACCCCCCCCCCCCCGTAACCCCGCACATGGCCACGCCCATTACCCCCCCTCCCGTAACGCCCACAATGGCCACCCCCATTACCCCCCCCCCGTAACCCCCACATGGCCACGCCCATTACCCCCCTCCCGTAACCCCCACATGGCCACCCCCATTACCCCCCCCGTAACCCCCACATGGCCACGCCCATTACCCCCCCCTCCCGTAACCCCCACAATGGCCACCCCCATTACCCCCCCCCGTAACCCCGCACATGGCCACGCCCATTACCCCCCCCTCCCGTAACCCCCCACAATGGCCACCCCCATTACCCCCCCCGTAACCCCCACATGGCCATGCCCATTAACCCCCCCTCCCGTAACCCCCACAATGGCCACCCCCATTACCCCCCCCCCCGTAACCCCCACATGGCCACCCCCATTACCCCCCCCGTAACCCCCACATGGCCACGCCCATTACCCCCCCCTCCCGTAACCCCCACAATGGCCACCCCATTACCCCCCCCGTAACCCCGCACATGGCCACGCCCATTACCCCCCCCTCCCGTAACCCCCACAATGGCCACCCCCATTACCCCCCCGTAACCCCCCACATGGCCATGCCCATTAACCCCCCCTCCCGTAACCCCCCACATGGCCATGCCCATTACCCCCCCCCGTAACCCCGCACATGGCCACGCCCATTACCCCCCCTCCCGTAACCCCCACATGGCCACGCCCATTACCCCCCCTCCCGTAACCCCCACATGGCCACGCCCATTACCCCCCCACTCCCGCCCGCCCACCACCTCACCGCCTGCGCCATCGTGTCGATGCCCATTCCACGTGAGTAAAACAATGCCCAGCCATCGCACCACTCAGCCGGCTCACAGTCGTGACTGGGAAACGGGGTGGGGGGGGGAGGTGAGGACAAAGAGCTTTGTAGCTCATCGGATTCCTCCAGTGTGAATATTCCTCATTCTGATTCTGGTCCGGCAACCTGCGGCTCTCTCTAAAGGACTGCTTTGTGACGTCGTTTATTACGGACCCACCGCTGTCTCGCAATAGCATACTCAAAAGACTACCCATAGACT